TAGAGACAGTTGATTTCAGGTTGTTGTTTAGGTTTTCTGGTCTTAATGACATAGAATCACAGAAAATTAGGGTTGGAAGGGAAGTCACATCTAGTCCAGCCCCCTGCTCAAAGCAGGACCATGCCCAACTAGATCATCCCAACCAAGGCTTTGTCTAGCTGGGTGTCAAAAACTTCCAAGAATGGAGAGTTAATGACCTCTTTGGGTAACTTGTTCTGCTTTTCTGAAGTCCAAGGTCCTTACTCTGCTGCTCCCCATCCTTCCTTTCCTCAGGATCCTGAACTCAATCATCTCATGGCTGCTGCTGCCCAAATTGTCATGCACTAGTACATTCCCCACCAATTCTTCCCTGTTTCTGAGCAGCAAGTCTAGAAGAGCTTGGCCCCTAGTTGGCCTCTCCAGCACTTGCACCAGGAAGTTGTCCCCAGCATTCTCCAAAAACTTCCTGGATTGCCTGTGCACTGCTGTATTGTGCTCCCAGCAGATGTCAGGGTGATTGAAGTCCCGCATGAGAACTAGGGCCTGTGATTGGGAAACTTCCACTAGCTGTTTGAAGAAAGCCTCTTCTACCTCTCCCTCCTGATCTGGTGGTCTATAGCAGACCCCCACCATGATATCACCCTTGTTGCTTTCTCCTCTCAGAGACTTTCAATAGGCCTGTCTCCAGTTTCATAGTGGAGTTCTGAACAATCATATGGCTCTTTCACATATAGTGCAAATCCTCCTCTTCTCCCTTGCCTGTGCTTCTTGAACACTTTATACCCATCCATGACAGCGGTCCAGTCATGTGAGCTATCCCACCAAGTCTCTGTTATTCCAATCACGTCATAGTTCTGGACTGTGCAAGGGCTTCTAATTCTTCCTGCTTGTTTCCTAGGCCCTACGCATTCATGTACAGGCACCTAAGGTAACTAGTCGATTGCCCTGATTTCTCAGGAAGTATAAGAACACCTCCCCTGTTGCCCCCTCCTGCTTGTTCTTCCTCTAGGTTACCCACTTCCCCACTTACCTCAGGGCTTTGCTGTCCATCCCCTGATGAACATAGTTTAAAGCCCTCCTCACTAGATTCGTGAGCCTGTCTGTGAAGATGCTCTTCCATCTTTTTGTCAGGTTGAGTCTGTCTTTTCCTGGCAATCCTCATTCTTGGAACATCTTTTCATGATCAAAGAAGACAAAGCACTGCTAGTGACACCACCTGCACAGCCAGACATTGATCTACAAGATGCACCAGCTCCCTTTCACCTGACTGAAAGTATCAAAGAGAATACCACCTGAGCCCCCATCCCCTTCACCTTTGCACCCAGAGTCCTGTAGTCACTTTTGATCTGCTCAGGGTCCTCCTTGGCAGTGGGGCAGGGCACTGTAGGTGCCTGCCACTTTAAGGGCCTGAAGCTAGCAGCCAACAGGTGCCTGATGAGGGCAGCCATTTTGAACCTAGAGCTGCCCATATAAACGGGGCAGCTTTGCTGCTGGAGGCTAGACAAGAACATTGCCTGGCTGCAGGGCTACTAGTATCATCTGGAGGTAAGGGAAGAACTGTAGGGGATGGTCAGGAGGCTCCTGGTCCTCGGCATGACCTAAAAGTGTACCTGGCAAGGAGTGGGTGGCCTGGTGGGGCTCTCAGTGGTGCGGGAGCCCCCAGGAAATGCCAGGCCAGTTACCACCCTGGTGAAAGGTGGGTAGGGGCACCTTAACCCTAGCTCTCACCTTCGGGTGGGTTTGCGTTCCATTGGAGGTAGTTGCAGGGGTGCAAGCCCCAAGAAGGGAGAGTTGGGGCCAGGTACAGCTGAGGCCGCCTGAGCCCTGCGGGGGTTTGAGACCCTGAGAGGGAAGGTTGGGCGAGGTATGGCTGAGGCCACCTTATCCCTGCAGGGGTTTGAGATCCCGAGGCGGAGAGTTGGGGGTCAGGTATGGCTGAGGCTGCCTGAGCCTTGCAGGGTGCGGGACCCTGAGATGGAAAGCTGGGGCCAGGCATGGCTATGGCCACCTGAGCCCACCAGGGAGCAAACCTTGCCTCCCATGGCCCCAGTGAAGGGGGTGATCTGGAGTCCCAAGTAAGGGGTGGAGATCTGGGAGCCCTGCATAGAGGTGGCAGGGTTGCAGAGCCCTGTGTAGAGGGGGCGGTGTGTAAAGATCAGACAGGGCAGCATTGTGATCTGTTGCTCCAGTGGGGGAGTGAGAGTACCCTGTGAGACCCTGGAGCACCAGTGGGGCCAGGCACAGCTTCGGCCACCTGAGCCCACTGGGGAGCAAACCCCTGTGGCCCCAAGTGAGGGGGTGGAAATTAGCTCCAGTGAAGGGGACTGAGATCTGTAGCCCCAGGTGAAGGGTGGTGTGCTAGCCCCAAGTAAGGGGCAGAGATGTGGAGCCCCAAGTGAGGGGGGTGATGTGGAGCCCCAAGCAAGGGGAGTAGGCCCAGGTAAGTCTCTAGATGCCTGAGGCCAAGATTTGGGTCAGGGGCTGAGTGAACAGGGCTCAGCCCCAGAGTGAGAAAGGCGAGTCCTGACCCCATTAAGTCCTCCACTGCTGGGAGGCAGAGTGTGGGTCAAACGTAACATCTGTAGTAGCACCACGACCTGCTGCCCCAGGGGGGGAGTGAGAGTCCCCTGTGAGACCCTGGGGCACCAGCCATGGTGTGAGGTACCCCAGCTCCCCACATCCAGGAAGGGAGAGAGTGTGGGGCTAGTGAGGCCGGAGGTAAAGTGCCTCCTCAACTGGGCCATGCTGGGGCCAGGACCAAGAAGGTCAAATGGGCCAGGTGCCCACTGCAAGGGGCACCCATAATCATGGGCCTGGGACCCCGCCTGGCCTTTGAGGTGAGGCCAGGGCCTGTGTTGGGCATGGTCCCTACTCAGGACCTTTGGCCCTAGAGGGGAGCCAGCTACAAGGAGCTTGGCAGCCTGGATGAAGGCGGTGTAGGCCACCAGAGCAGGGGGTATCAAAGGAGGGTCCTATGAGGAGGATTCTGGAGCCTAGTGTGGGGCTGGTGTGCTTGTTACATCTGGATGCCATCTGCAAGGTTTGGGCTGCGGTGTAGGGGGAAGCAAAGCTGCAGATAGCGCCCCTGGCATCAGGGCAAAAAAATGGGCAGCCTCCTGCATTATTTAGCAGCTTATTAATTTTCCAGCAAGTTATGGCAGGTGAGACAAGCAGTCAGCGTGCCCGGAGGTAGGTGGGAGGCTGGCAATGGCTGGCCTGAGAGAAGTCCACTTTGCCACAGGCAGTATCATTAGTGCCCACATGAATGAACAGCATGGGGTAGTAGTCAGAGAGCCGGATAAGTCTTGGTAGTCCCTCCATGACATCTTGGTTTTGGGCTCGGGGACAGCAGCCCAGGCAACAGGTTAAGTCACCAGATGGATCCCTCTGTCCCCTATAGAAGGGAGTCTCCAACCACCACCACCTGTTGCTTCTTCTTGGTAGTGGTAGTCTTGATCCTTCCCCCTTAGGGAGGTCTGGCCTGTCCTCCTCCACCAACAGAACATGCTCCTCCCTCTCTGTTGCCAGGACTCCATATCTATTCTCCGGATTAAGTGCTGCAGATGGAGATGAAGATTTCTGCTTGCCGCCAGAGGTCACAAGCTTCCACCTTCCTGGGAGCCCATGTCCTCTCCCTTCTCTAGTGTTACCTCTACCAATTCTTCCTCCATAGTCCCTGAGTTCTCCTCCAGCATTGAATCGATGAACTCCCCATGGTGGAGGAGCCTCATCACCTCCTTCTGTAGCAATTTTGCCTGTTCACTGATAGACACCGCCAGGAGGGATCACTCATGCTGCAGGCACTCCCCAAACCTGGTTGTCACTGGAAGGAACCTGCAATCTTTGGTCCCCCAGTGACAAACCTGGACTTGGGTGGATACCTTGATGGTGAGCGGTCCTGCTTGGACAGAAACCTCACAGGTGCAAGCAGAGACAGTGACAGTGGCTCTGGCACTGCAACATCCTCCAGTCATTTCCCTGGGTCTCTTAATTGACCTCTTCTCTCTTGCTGCTCTTTTTCCAAGCACACCTTCCCTAGCAAACTCCTCTGAAAGCAGGCCTGTTTACTGTTCCTTGTCCCCAAATGGTTCCTTTTTCAGCTTGGTGTGAGTAGGCAGGGGAAAGGCCCTCCCCTCAAAGAGGGGGAGCAGCAAACTGACATGAGAACTGCAGGAATACTGCTTGCCTTACCAGCTGCCCCTGTTTGCTGGCTCCCTGGTCACTTGGGGAGTCTCCTTTTATATCCTGCTAGGCCTAGATTGGCTCCACCCTGACGTTAGGACTCCTGTTAGGCACAGGCAGCAATCGCTCGGCTAGCAACAGTTCCAGTTTTTCAGAGCACACAGCCCACCACACAAACGCTCAAGTCAAAGGCACAGGGAGCTCTGGATCATTTACCTTCCCTGGGCAGGATGTGGTGCCTGGCTTCTCTTCCCCTTCCTCCTCTTGTTCCCAGCAAACTGCTTGCTGCCCCTGTTTGCTGACTCCCTGGTCGCTTGGGGAGTCTTTTAAATACATGTTGAATCGGAATTGGTACTTCTTACAGTTTTATTTCTGCAGCTCCAGCTCTGTGTGCAGCTTAGGGTAAAATAAAGCAATTGAAACAGATGTATAAATAAGGAGCAGAGGTTATTTTATTCTTTGTTCTTGCACTATGGTCTACTTCCAACAATAATAATTGTGCTTGCTTATATTATAGAACTTCAAATGCTTTGTTTTTATTGCAGAATAAGATGATAAGGCCATTACCATGTTAATGGCAAATTGTAGTGTGTTTACTGAAGATAGTCTGGGTAGCAACATACACTGCAGGCAGAATTTCACATCTGTATTTAAAAGGGGAGTGGCCAGACTCCAATTTACTTGAATAGGGACAGGGTTTCAGCCAAAAATGAAACATGAAAAGTAAATAACCTAGAGATGGACTGGGTAGAGATGCACCAAGTATTTTTGAACCTGCATCAGCACTTTGCATTTTGTGCCCATTTATCTCTGATATTCCTTATGATTTTCTTTTGCAGTTGGTGGCATCTATACTGTGATCCAGACCAAAGCCAGAATTACAGCAGATGAATGGGGTGAAAACTACTTTCTGATGGGTCCCTATTTTGAACATAATGTGAAGACTCAAGTAGAAGTATGTGAGCCTCTCAACCCGGCTATTAAAAAGGCAGTGGAAACAATGAAAGGCCAAGGGTGTCAGGTAAATAAGGTCTAATGTCACTTCCTGTGGCAACTAATCTGATTTGAAAGAGATTACCATTTTGGCTTATGTACTTGCCATTTCATTTGATATAGCAATTGTGGTCAGTGTCATAACTAGAAAAGCTTAGACTCGGCATTAGAGTAGCAAGGTCAGTTCATTGAAGGTTATTTTTGAAAAAGAAACAGTTTATCCAATTAGAGGTTTAAAGAGTCTTTTGCATGCAATTGGATTAATGATTTACTTCTCTGGTCCCTAGATTGGTGCGATTCAATAGAAAAGATGTGACCTTAAGTTGACCGAACTGTTATGTAATTCTCTTATACTGCATTTGGTCTTCTGAAACTGCTGAATAAATTCCGAGGGGGGAAGCACTTCACCATACTGATATTTTGCTTCTTTAGAGCTATGTTGGCTTTGAAAGCCAGAGCTGAACCACAGTAAGGTGAAAAAAGGTTGCATGTTGACAACCCCTTCACCACCTGCTTTGTCAGGCAAATGTCCATCTCTGGAGTGGGGTCAGAGGGGAGAGCAACAAGGGTGATGTTCTCTTATAGACCATCAGACTAGGAGGATGTGATGGATGAGGCTTTATTCAAACAGCCAGTAGAAGTTTCTCAATCACAGGCCTGGTTTTCTTGGGGGGCTTCAGTCACCCTGACAACTGCTGGGAGAACAATACAGCAGTGCACAGGCAATCCAGGAAGTTTCTGGAGAGTGCTGGGGACAACTTCCTGGTGCAAGTGCTGCAGAGGCCAACTAGGGACCATGATCTTCTTTACCTGCTGCTCACAAACAGGGAAGAATTGATGGGGATTGTAGTAGTAGATGGCAACTTGGGCAGCAGTGACCACAAGATGATTCAGTTCAGGATCCTGAGGAAAGGAAGGAAAGAAAGCAGGAGAGCATTGATCCTAGACTTCAGAAAAGCAGACTTTGATTCACTCAGGAAACTCGTAGGCAGGATCCCCTGGGGAGAGGAGTCCAGGAGAGCTGGCTGTACTCTTAAACAAACCTTACTGAAGGCACAGGAACAAACCATCTAGATGTGCAGGAAGATTAGCAAGTATGGGACAAAACCAGCTTGGCTTAGCAGGGAACTCTTCATAAGCTAAAACACAAAAAGGAACTTTATAAGAAGTGGAAACTTGCACAAACAACTATGGAGGAGTATAAGAGTATTGCTTGGGCATGCAGGGATGAAATCGGCAAGGCAAATGCAGAATTGGAGTTGCAGCTAGCAAGGGATGTTAAGGATAACAAGAAGGGTTTCTACAAGCTGAGGCATATGAATTATGAGGGGAGGCTGAGGGAACTGGGCTTATTTAGTCAGGAGAAGAAGACTGCAAGAGGATTTAATAGCAGCCTTCAGCTACCTGATGGTGGTTCCAAAGAGGATGGAGCTAGACTGTTCTCAGTGGTGGCAGATGACAAAACAAGGAGCAATGGTCTAAACTTGCCTTACTTCAACTTAAGGTTAGATATTAGGAAAAATTCTCATGACAAGGGTAATAAAGCACTGGAACAGGTTACTCGGGGCTTCAGAATCTCCATCTTCAGAGGTTTTTAAGACCGAGGTAGACACGCGCGCGCACACTTCTATGGACCTATCTTGCGATTGACATGATTCACTTGACAGTCCAAAACACTTCTGCAGTTACACCATCATTATCCCTGTTCTGTCATCTTCCTTTGTTTTCCTGTAGCACACCTCCAGCTCTTTCACTCTCATTCTGACTTCCTCCTTGACTGGGAGGCTCGTATATCTGTACATGAGTAGATTCCTGGTCTTCCGCAGGGTGTTCCTGAAGCAGGAGATGAACTGGTCAACAGAACCATGTGCTAATTAGCCCCCAACTCATGAATGGAACTGGATGTTCTTGTCATGAGTCCTGGGATCCTACAAAGATTTATATGCAGGTGAGGCATAGGGCAACCTGGTCTGGCTTCACCTCGAGGAGGGCAGGGACACGCTAGTCGTATGTGATGGGTTGAGACCAGGGCAGATGGAGGGATTCTGGGTAAACTGTTTGGGGCCTAGTTTGTTGGGAGCGGGGTTTTGGCCAGACATTTAATGCTGGTGAAGAAACTGGATTCTTTGGAAATGGGAAAGAAAGGCGCAGTTCAGCTATACGAATGAAGAGGAAATCAAAAGGTATGCAATATAATGGCTCACCAGGACTTGGAAATAGGGCCGCGCGGGGGGGGGGGGGGGGGGGGGCGAGTCAGCACTGAGGGTGTCTGGACTCAATAGGAACTACCATATATCTTATTCAGATGGGCTGCATTAACCTACATGGATTCATACCAAAGCGACCTGAGGAAACATTATTAAGGACTTTATTAGCATGTGTTAAAATGAGTTTATAGAAAGTAAGAAGCCTCTGGGTTTTTAAGGGGTTGATTTTCACTGAAAGAGTGCCTGAAGCTGGGACTGCATGAACTGAAATGCAACATGGATCAGGACAAGGAAGAGATTGGAGAAGAACTGGAGGAAAAAGAACTGGACACACCTGTTTCACTGAACCAACAGGGAAGGGTAGAGAGTTTTCAGGTGGTTACTGAGGTAATAGTTTTTCATGGGGCTCAGTATGAAGAAGTTCTGTAAGAGTATGAGGTTTTTTTGTTTATTTTGTTTTGTGGGAAGTTGAAGGCCAAGTACAGACAATCGAGGAGTGTATGGGGCATTTGAGGAGGGGTAGAACCTTTGTTTCTCAAACAATGACACCTTTTTAAGGTGGCTTAGGATTCATATCCAGCTCTTACTAATGGCTACACATACCATACCTTGGGCAACAGCTTCCACCAGTGGTCTGGACTTAGTGAGGGGGGATAGTTTTCATCATTAAGAGCTGCCCTCTAATCATCACAATGGCAGCTGTGGCAGAAGAGAATATTTCCAATGGCAAAGCTGGCAGACGAAGATGACAGTAACTACAGCCACTACCTTATGGATTGCCTTGGGAGAGGTAAAAGTTAAAGGAGTAAACCCTGACAGAAAATATGGAGTGGAGCCAGTAAGGTGGTTAGACAATTTATTCAGTCTTCTTTCCAGCAGTTCCTACAACTTTCCCAGCCTCACATTGCCAACTTATACACAGGAAAGGTAGAACCAATACAAAGTTGAAAGGGTGATTCTGCTGCTTGGGTAACTCTTGATCGCCTAGCAAATGCCCAGGCTTTCTCTCCCTGGAGAGGTTACTCAAGCTTTGCCAATGTGTAGAAACAAACAGACGTCAACAGTTACCAGTTGTAAGTCATGGACTGACTGGTGTAGATCCAAGCACCAGTGGTTATCTCTGATGGTGGGAGAGATCACTGCACCTCATTGGAAAACTACCACCCACCCCAAGCTGGGCACTCTGCAGCCACTAAGGTGTCTTCCTGCTACAGTCTGCTGCTTCAGTGGGTGCTTGGAGTTTAGAGATTCAGATTGAAAGCAGACTGCTATCATGCACTATCAGCTACTACAACAAATACAAGGAAAAAAACTTTCAATTATAAAGATTGGAAGTTAGAATGTATGTACAGTGACCCCAGGTATATCTGATGACCTCCAAACTATTGATAATGCACGCAAAACTGCAGTCATTGATGTAGAACTGCTGGAACTGAATATTGATATTGTCGCTCTACAGGAAACCAGATTCTCAGGTACTGGCTGCTTGAAAGAGAACTACACCTTTTTCTGGTGTGGGAAACCAGCTCAAAGAAATCAGAGAGCATGGTATTGGATTTTCAGTAAAAAATAAGCTGTGGTCTGCAATAGAAACCCCAAACAAAGGCTCTAAACGATTAATGGTGCTTTGACTTGCTACTGGCTCTGGTCTTGTCAATGTCTTAATGTGCATATGCTCCAACTCTCACCATTTCATCTGAATCAAAGAACCACTTCTATGGTTTTTAGTGTTTTAATAATATTTCACCCAGTGAAAAAATCCTTCTGCTCAGAGATTCAACGAGGGTTGGTGCTAAGCATGCTGTCTGGCCTCGCTGTTTAGGCACCAAAGATGTCAGAAAACTGAATGAAAATGGACAACATTTGCTCACGCTATGTTCATGCAATGAGCTATGTATAACAAATTCATATTTCAATGTGAAACCTCAGCACAAACTATCTTGGTGCCACCGACAATCTAGATACTGGCATCAACTCGACCTGGTTATCACCCACTCTCAAGACTTCTGTGATGTAATCATTATGTGATCCTATTAGTGCTCACTGTGATTATTAATCATTCATTGGTATGCACTAAAGTCAAATTGCATCCCAAGATAGTATACAAGAGCAAGAAAATCCTTACAATGAATAAATGCCATGCAGCGGAAAGCTGAAGACACATCATCTCGATGAATTAAAACTCTCTCTGGGGCTCCATCGTATCTTAAGCTGTATAATAATACTGCTGAGGAGAAATGGGTCCAGCTTAAATGAGTCCTACTCAAATATGCATTCAGTGACTGTTCAGAAAGAGTATACCTGTGGACCAGATCTGATGGGGAAACTTTTTAAGGAGCTGGCAGGTGTCATAGCCCCACCATTGGCAAAAATATTTGAAAACTCAGGTGATGTACCTGAAGATTGGGAAAAAAGCCAATGTGGTGTCCATCTTTAAGAAAGGGAGGCAAGTAGATCCAGGGAACTACAGGCCAATCAGCTTGACCTCAATCCCCAGTAAGAGTCTGGAAAAAATTATTGAAGAGACCATTCTTGACAAGCTGGCTGATGGCAAACATCCTGAGCGACAGCCAGCACAGGTTTGTTGTGGGTAGGTCTTGCCTGACCAATCTCACCTCCTTCTATGAACAGGTGACACATCATCTAGACAAGGGAGAAGTGATTGTCATCATATATCTGGACTTTAAAAAAGCCTTTGATCTGGTGTCCCATGATCTCTGCATGGAAAAAAATTGGCCAACTGTGGCCTAGGCTACATCACAATCCAATGGCTGGGGAATTGGCTCCGAGGTCAGACCTAGAGAGTAGTAGTCAATGGAAG